CTGCTGTAGCAAGCAATCCACTCAAAACACTGTACAGTACGGATTTTGCAGTCAACAACATGAAGCCTTCTATGGACTTTGGTGGCTTTGGCCTGCGCGCACATGTCAACTGTCGCGTCAAATTCCAGCCTTGGGGCTGCTATGTTTTTGAACCTTTGCGACTGTACGAAGAACGCGCAGCAACGAAGTCAAAGAAAGACGAACTGCAAGATCCAAGATCAGCTCTCAGTGCAGAAGCTCGAGCAATGATCGCGCCAGCTGTGCAACACAAGGTCCAGTTGGATCAGCGCTTTGTATGCACACCTTGTCTTGCAACTGTATATACAATATTCTGCAGTTTGTTGTCCGATCTGGACAATGTATCTTGTGATGCTACGAGTGATTTTGCAATACGCGCATACAAGCAGATTCTCCCAAGGGTCCTTCTCTCAATGCTATAAGTGCGAACAGACCGCTCCCTTGGCATTCGTCAAGTGCATCTGACGGTGCATCCCGACAACCGGCAGAAACATTCAAAAGAACGCAAAAGACAATGAGAGAAACAAGACTCATCCCACTTTAGGGGAGCTTCCTCAGCGGATGGAACAATGAAACCCACATAATGAGACAACTCTGGCGAAGGTGGTCGACATGCTCAAAAAGCCTTGACACTAGCAATCAGCCTCCAGTCTTCCAAACAGAGCATTCACAACTTACATAGTTCAATGCTTTGGACGCCAAAGTTCAATTCTTGTCACGAGATGCAGCACAAAGATTCCTTTGCCAACTGAAATTGCCTGAAGCGGATTGCTGCTATGTCCCAAATTATGTGAAGGGTCTTACATTGGCCCCCATGTTAAGAGTAAATGTCGCTGAAAGGGCCCTAAATGATAGGTCCTTCAAGCGAAGCTGAAGCCAATCACGAAACCTCTGGGCATCAAGTCCATCTTCTCGTCATTTGGCATGGGTGGAAGTTCGCAGCGCTGTCTACGCTGGTAATGGCTTGACCTTGCACGCCAAGCCCTTGAACATGGCATCCGACATGGCACAACACCCCGCACAGACAGCCTTCTGACATGAAGCTTGCTGAAGTTGGCAGTGGACAATTTCATGGAGCGGCAGCCTCACAACAGACTGGAATGGTGGTGGCTGGAAATGCTTAATGTCTAAGCAGACTCTGTCACCTGATTCGCGAGGCAAAATGAGAATCTTGCATTTTTCTGTCCAGGACTATGTTTCATCAAGACAATTAGGGGCCTCAACTCTCTCCACCTGCCGCGAACGACATTTGCTTTACTTATCTACCTGGACATACTGGCCACTCAGTGTGAACGAATCCGGCACCCTGGTGAGTGCAGCAGGACCCAAATGCAAATACCTTTCATCTTCCAAGCCTGAAAGTGTCCAAACACATATTACATATTCTTGCTTTGACAAAAACCTCTCAATGCATCTCAAGTGTTAAGAAGTAATGCTGGAACGTGGCTGATGAAGGACTGACTGACCAAAATTCACAGGGCAGGAGAGCTCAGCCCTAGCGCAAGGGGTGCCCAAGAAATGGCCGGGCAGAAATGGAGGGATTTCCCTTATCAACCATCGTTTACAATGAGGTCGTTGTGAGGTCGCTATAATTTACCCAGATACATGCATTGACCCCAGTTGTCGGCGGCAGCTCTTTCTCCTTTGGACCTGGAACAAGGCACTACCTACATTGAAAACCCATAGTGAATAAGAGCCTAACCAAACTGGTGGCAAATGGCTGGGCCCAAACCAAGATCGTTACACAGATCGTTTTTCATCCCTAATCGGAAAAAATGGCTGATTGACGGGCATTAAGTTCTCAACTCGGCATATCTCCTCCCTACACATCCGACAATTGCGAATCGTCTTGTCGAATGAGACCTTTTTAGAAATTGGAAACACTTCTTGGCGCTCCCAAATCTTGTGACCGGTTCCCTTCGTTCGAAGATAGATCGCAGTCTTGCATTCAAGCAGGTTGTGAGCACAGTAGCACTTCATGGGACAAAGCACGACACGACACTGCATTCATCTGCCCGGAAGCTGCGCGATGCTCTCATTATCTGTTTGCTTGGAATGACCGTCCGGTATGGAGTTTCATATGCATTCCTCAGTTTTCAAGACCCAGCACGCAGCTGGTGGCCGCGGGATTGCTAAAATGTGTGAATGTGTGGTCACAAAGGACATCATTGACATTGTGATGCTTTGCTTTGCAATCTTTGAGAGCTAAGCAGTTGTGCCTGCAACGCGAAAAGCACTTTGCTAGTTCTCTGCAGGAGGCTTACTCAAGCCTTCAGGAGGGCCCAACCAGGTTTGACTCCGAAGGCTGGCTGTATCTGCTCAATTTCACACACTTAGACTGCGCATCTGTGTGGAACCGGATTTCGATGCGCAATGGCACATCACATCTGAGCACATGGCAGTATCGGCAAAATGATGGAGACTTTGGAGACAAAAGTGGCCAGCTGAGGATGAGGGAATGTTTTTTTGAAAATCTTGGCGACAGATGACTCCTTAGGGCCCCTACAAATGCTGGAGACTTTGGCGACAAAAAGTGGTCAGCAAAGGCAATGCGTTTTGGAAATCTTGGCGGCACTCGATTCTTCTTGGGAAACCAAGAGCGTAGACTGCACATTAAGAGTTCTGCTGACAAAAGGAACTGGTTGCTTTTATCTTTTGGGAAGTCCTGCTTCTTGAGATTCTTGTGGGGAGTTCCCTCCAGTTGATGAGTGGATTGCGTTATTGCATTGGAGCCGGCTGCGATCAGACCAGCACTTCATGGGACAACATGACACCACACTCACAAAGCAAGGTTGAAACGCAGCGTTCGCTGGCAAACCAGTTCTCACGCTCTTAGCCAGCTACAAGTTGTCCGTTCCTTGGGGGGGTAAAGGCACAGCTGCTTGACGGATTCATATCCTTCCAAAGGCTTGCCATTATTGCAAAATGCTGGAGATTTTGAAGACAAAAAAGTGGCCAGCTGAGACAGCAGAGGCATTGCCTTGTGGAAATCTTGGCCACGGCGGATTCTCATGGGCAGAGCAGGAGCGGAAACTGCACATTAAGAGCTTCGCTGACACAAGGGACTGGTTGCTTTCAGTTCCTGGGATATCCTGATTCTTTGGGGGGGCTTCCCTCAAGGGTTCCTCTGACAAGGCCCTGACTGATTGCAAATTTGAAAGTAAGGTTTTAATGTCACCAACTTGTGAAAATGGACGGCAAACGTCTGCCAAGCAGATCTTTTCTTCCAGCCAAAAACAAATCCTGTCAAAGCGGGGGCCACAGCTGAGCACATGGCGGCAACGGCCATTATTGCAAAATGCTGGAGACTTTGGCGACAAAAAGTGGTCAGCTGAGACAGCAGAGGCATTGCCTTGTGGAAATCTTGGCCACGGCGGATTCTCTTGGGCAGAGCAGGAGCGGAAACTGCACATTAAGAGCTTCGCTGACACAAGGGATATCCTGATTCTTTGGGGGGGCTTCCCTCAAGGGTTCCTCTGACAAGGCCCTGGCTGATTGCAAATTAGAAAGTAAGGTTTTAATTTCACCAACTTGTGAAAATGGACGGCAAACGTCTGTCAATAATGCGCAGATCTTTTCTTCCAGGCAAAAACAAACCCTGTCAAAGCGGGGGCCACAGCTGACTCTTTAGGGCAAAGCAGGAGAGGAAATTGCACAACAAGAGCTCTGCTGATAAGGAGAAGGAGCTGGTTGCTTTCATTTTCTGGGAAGTCCTGCTTCTTGTCGGGGCTTCCCGTACGCAAAGGGTTCTTCTGACAAGGCCCTGACTGCAAGAGAGAAGAGATCTTAATGTTACCAAGCTACAAAAACGGATTGCAAACGTGTTCGAAGCACTGCCAATAATACGCAGCTGCTTTCTCCGAAGCAGTAAAACCTTTCAAAACGGTGGCCACAGCTGAGCACATGGCGGCAACGGCCATTATTGTTATTGCAAGACTTTGGCGACAAAAAGTGGTCAGCTGAGGCAATGCGTGCTGGAGATTTTGGCGACAGCTGATTCTTTTGGGCAAAAAAGGAGCGGAAACTGCACATTAACACAAGGGACTGGTTGCTTTCAGTTTCTGGGATTTGGGCTTCCCTCAAGGGTTCCTCTGACAAGGCCCTGACTGATTGCAAATTGGATAAATTAGAAAGTAAGGTTTTAATGTCACCAACCTGTGAAAATGGACGGCGCCGCGTTCATACGCCATGATTAATTCACGAAGTTGTGAACATGTTGTCGAATCTTTCACCCGTAGCTGCAGCCAAGTTTTAAGTTGGCCTGTGACCGATCGCAAGAGCACAGCTCTTTTGATTTCATCTGCCACAACAGAACCAAGCTTCTCATACTCAGAATAAGCCACTTGAAGTTTCATCGCCTGACTCGGCAAACATCTGCCAATAATGCGCAGATCTTTTCTTCCAGGCAAAAAACAAACCCTGTCAAAGCGGGGGCCACAGCTGAGCACATGGCGGCAACGGCCATTATTGCAAAATGCTGGAGACTTTGGCGACAAACAGTGGTCAGAAGAGGCAATGCGTTTTGGAAATCTTGGCGACACTCGATTCTTCTTGGGAAACCAAGAGCGTAGACTGCACATTACTTTGGAGGCTCCTAGGACTTAGGGGACTTATAAGTTCAAGCTAAGTGGACTTATAAGTGGGGTAAGTATATGTTAAGTAGTGGTTATATGGCCTAAGTTGTTGCTATGCTATGCATCGCTTAGGTCGAACATAAGGGGGACTTAGGTTACTTATAAGTGGAAGCGTCTACAACATGACAAAAGATAGGTTGAACTTAGCTTTCACTTAGCTTTTTTTTGAAAAGGATGTTTTTGGATAGTTTTTTGAATTTGTTGTGAAAAAGAACATGTTTTTAGTGATATGTCAAGTATGATGTATGACTTTGAAATAGAATATTTTGGAGGATGGCGAGCAGTGTGATGTCACACGTTTGCGCAGCCATTGGATAACTCGGTGGAGCCATATATGTTGCCGTAGTCATGGCTGTGTGTATGAAGCAGCTGCAGGCGGCGCAAAGATTCCTAAGTGGAATTCGCGAGTTGGCGACGTATGCCAATTTTGTTGAGAAGCAGGCTGCTGGCGTAAAGAAATCTTTGGAAAAAATGTCGGCAGTGAGTCCAGGGGAAGCCGCAGGAATTCTTGGAGCTATAGATCCACAGGTCTGGAGCCCTTCCCACGTGGAAGGGTTTCGGTTGCTTTTGGCGAGCAAGACTAAGGCTGTGGTTGCAGATAATGTGCGTACGACGCAGCAAGATTTTGCCACTTTGCCTTTTTTTTGACTGAAGAATTATGTCAGAAAATTTTGCGTGAGGGTACTGACAGAGATCAGTTGCTTTTTGACCTGTGCGCCCACGCGGCGAAGCTGACGTTGCGGGTTGCAACGGAAGGTAGCAAAGCAACGATTATCGCGTTGGCCTACTGGACACAGTTATGCCAAGGAATGACTGCGAAGGAAAAATACAACTTGTACCTGCAGAAGAAGCCCGTCGTGACAAAGTACTTGTCTGTGCCGCCATCGTCCACGACCATTTTGGAGTTGCCTGTGTCATGGAAAGATTTGCCCAGTGAAGTTGCACAGTCCGTGTTTCCTACGGGGAAACCGATGGAGCGGAAGGAGTTTGCTGCTGATGTCATGCAATTCGTGCGCAACATGCCTTTGCGAAAGGATCATAAACTTCTGCAGGGGGAAGCGGACATCGCTGCAGGTTCTTTGTCCTCAGGGTCTGCATCATCTGGCTTAAGTGTGGATGCGATTTGCAAGGTTGTCGAAGCATGTTCGCGGGGAATGCAGAATGCTGGAACACAGCAAGTATTATCGTTGTCGAGTCCGGTAACATGTCCGGTGCCTGCGCAAAAGGAGCTGTTGGCGGTTGAAGATGGTCTTGTGGAAGAGAAGACACCTACGGGGTGTCTTCCAAAAAAACCTGTGCAAGACGAGCAGAAGGATCCGGAGATGTCAGTGGAACAGCAGTTGGAAGCATTACAAGGCAACGCTCGTTTGTTGGAGGAAGCAGCTTTGAAACGTCCTGCGTCAAAGAAGGGCTTGAAGCGGCCAGCAGCTGCAATTGGCACGGTTGCGTACGCCGCAATTTGTGCCGCTGAGGGATCTACGGGATCATTGCAGGGAGGGACTGGCAGGAGCAAGGCCATGCCTAAGGCCAAAGCAAGTGTGCAGCCAACTGGAGGCAAGGCTAAGTCCAAGGGCAAGTCTCCTGCCAAGGCAGAAGCAAAGATTATGCCTAAGGGCAAAGCAAAGGCTAAGACCATGCCTAAGGGCAAGGCTAAAGTGGCGATGCCTAAGGGCAAGGCAATGCCTAAGGCTAAGGCCAGGCCTACGGGGCCGTCAGCGCACCTGTCCGCACGCGAGCAGGTGCGTCAAGCGGTGCTGAAGAAGGTACCGCGGACGCTCAAGCTCCGTTTCCGCAACGGATGTCAGAAGTGTCGGCGGAGGTCGTTGTGTACGCCAAGCTGCTGGGCAGAGCGCGGTTACTTTCCGTGACTGTCACATGTATGCTCCATCGGGTTTGAAAAAAGATCTGCTGCAGCTGCTCTCCTTGTGCCTTGGGGTTGGAAGGTTTGCTTGTCAGTGTCGCGTGTTGTCGTTGCTCGTGTCTCTGCGTGTTTGCTTCCAGGTATGTCATGTTTGACGCGTGTCTGTCGACTGTTATAGGCTCAAGTGCTGCAAGGGTTTGGCTCCGTGGTGATCCCTCCGCGGGAATCCCACAGGAGATTGCATGGCGTAAGTTTTTGTTTTCCCCCTGAAAGCAACTATGGGGTTCTTATATGCGTTCCCGATGTCCTCTATGTGGAAGTTGCAGGAGCCATGGCGCCGAAGGGGAAGACGGAGGAAACTCCTCGTGAAGGTGATGGTTCGGAATATAGCTACATCACTGATGAGGAGGCCACCTGGCCCGAACCAGCTGCCGAGCCACCTACGCGGGGCGGACCTGGGCGCATGACTGCGTCGAAGTCGAAGGCAGTGAAAAAAGAGAAGGATGAGCGGTCGTCGAGCGATCGCGGGCTACGTGCTCGTCCAAGGGACTTGCCTTCTCCTTTCAGCCCTCCACGTGAGAGCTCACCCAGGCGTGCCAGGCGTGAAGGCCGCAGTCGTGACAGAAGCTCCAAGAGAGCACGTAGTGTGGCGCCAGAGGCCGCGCGGAGTCCCAAGAGGACACGGAGCGTTGCGGCAGCTGACGCGCGTAGCCCCAAGAGGGCACGGAGCGAATTGCCGGCAGCCGCGCCTCGATCCGCACTGGACATGCCTTTGTCGGAGTATGGCAAAGATTTTGGCAAGGCGAGTGACCTGTCCCTATTGCCACGTGGAAGTGGCACGGACTGCCCGAGGATCTGCATTGAGCCAGCACCAGTGGTTCAGCGAGTACTGCATAGCTTGCCAGCTGTGGCAGAGAGGCTGGGCCTGGCACGATGCCCGAATTCGTGCGGCCGCCTTGAAGGACAGGCGAGAAGGTGAAACCAACGAGGAGAAGGGCCCCGCAGAGCCATGGCCTGAGGAGGAGGTGGTGCCTGCCAGATCGGCACGGCATCGTCAGGCACGCGAAGAAGCAGAGTTTGATGAGGCTATGGGCCCCAGGAGAGAGAAGATTCCCACCAAGGAGAAGAGCCCCGGCAAGGAAAAGAAGAAGGACAAGAAGCGTCGCCGGAGACACCGCAAGCCCAGCCCGACACCAGAGGTGGAGCGTCCTCGCAGGCGTAAGCCGCCGAGCGACGAGGATGACGAGGACGCAGGGCACCGCAAAAGGCGCCGCGATGACAAGGTCTGGATTCAGGTGCCCAGATCATCCTTGATGGCCCACTAGGTGCTCTGGCTACGAGCCATCTCTGATGTCTACGCGACATGAAATATATCGGGCTGCCTTCTCACTATACGGATATGATGCACTCTGAGTCTGAACGAGAAAAAAGGTTGTGCGGCTGGGTCTGGTCGGCTTGGGTGGTTCGTGATGTCAACTGTCTCCCTCTAGGTGGTTCCCCTGTATACCGTTTCCTTTCCCGATGTCCTTTTTGGCTCTATAGCTGGCGTGCACTCATATGTCTGTTGGCATACGGGCCTCGGATGCGTTCATGTTTCTTGATGTTTCCTTTGCAATGACCCCACGTGGGTTCGAAGCTGTCATGACGTGCATGGAAGAAGCTATGCCACACGTGGCGCGCAGGGACTTTGAAGATGCATGGGCCACGGTCATGCATGTGTTTGCCTGCGCAAGCCAGTGGGTAGCAGCTGGCGACGGTCAGCCATGGGCCCAAGCGGTCTTGTGCAGACTGTCGTCCTTACTGCACTTTGGCATCTGGGGCGCCATCGCGTTGGATTTGGAGCCTCACCCCACGCGACCGGGGCATTGCCTTGTGCCTGCGCGGTACAAGAAGGTCAGCCATGGCTGGCAAGTCTATGGTGGTGATCAGCACTTGTGCGGCCAAGCGCTGCAGGCCAGGAAGCTGCTCGCAGTTCTAGTTTGGCGTCTGTCTAAGCGACCGGATGCCCGGCAAGCGATGCTATGGTGTCTGTTGACTATGGATATCTTAACAAAAATGCGTGCCCACGTGGCTGCGCAGCTACGAGCAATGCAAGGACAAGGCGACGCTGACAGAGGCGCGAAAGGCTAATTCGCAAAAGTGTGCGGAATGTGTGCGGATGTGTGCGGACTGCGGAAGAGGGAAAACAGACCTGCGCGCATTGTTGTGTGCGGGACGACAAAAAGGTACTTAAAGGATGGAAACTTCATCTTAAACTTATGTGCGGAATGTGTGCGGAGGGTGCAAAGTTGCATGCAGGATGCGTCGCATGTGTGCGGATGTGTGCGATATACGGATCTAAGCCCTCCCGAATGTGTGCGGAATGCGTGCGGATTGCCACTAAAATTTGACAGTTTTTCAGAATCTGTTTCAGACTTTTCCGTTTTCCCACGTTTTTGTCGTGTCTGCAGGTTCTGGCTCCGACATTCTGGCCTCCCACTTGACGCCACACAGCTGTCGGAATAGGGCATGGCAGAAGCACCCAAGAAGGTGTGTAAGAGCTGCGGCTACTCCTACGCGGAGGACGATGGCCGTCAGCACGGGTCTTGCTTCACGTGCACCCAATGCAGGAACATCGCATCAGTGATCAGAAGGAACTTGGGCACCACTGCGGACATAGCCCAGTGGACCAAAGATGAAACACATGACTTTTTCCGATCCCAGCAAAAAGACGCCTGTGATGGTCGTCTTAAGTGGACGACGATCCGGGCAGCTTGGGTGAAGAAGAGAACGGAAGCCGTCATTCGAAAGTTCACGGCTACTGTGGAGAAGGAAGCCTTGCCCAAGACGGTATGGCAGAAACGTGGTTGGGAGGATCCGGTCATTGACCGGTTTGAACCCAAGTGGAGCGATGAATATGGAACGCATGTGCATGAACTTCCCATTCAAAGGCTGCGCTGGAAAGAAGCGTTCCAAACGGTTGAGGAGCAGGTGCTGGAGCAAGAGAAAGCCGCAGCCAAGAAGAAGGGTGGCAAAGGCACAGGCGACCAAGACGTAGATGTGCCAGGCCAAGCTGAAAAGGATGACACTACCAAAGAAGAGAAAACTAAGGCGGCAGAGAAGAAGAAGCTTGTGAGCAACAATGCGAAGATTGCTGCGTTGGCTGCTCGAGCCATGGGCCCATTGTGTGCTGGCGAATCTGCCCTGGGTAAATTGCTGGCAAGGACGGAGAATGTGGAGAACGTCAATGTTGCGGCCAAGACGCTGTGCCAAGATTCTCTAGAGACGATGAAGCGTTGGAGCGCAGCAGCCCGTGCGGCTGTGAACGCCCCAAGAGGCGAATAAGGGTCTGGCAGCTGATGTTGATCCGGTTGCCTTGGCGGCCTTACCCTTCGATCAGGCAGATTTGAAAGTCGCGCTGCAGCAAAGCGCAGCAGGGCAAAAAGATCTGAAGGAATCAATGCCCAAGAAAGAGGCAAAGGCTAAGGCCAAGGCCAAGGCCAATCCTGGCTCCGCCCTGCCAAGTGAGGATGACAATGGTGAGCCGAAGCCCAAGCGGCGCCGCATCAAGGGCAGCTAAGCGCTGGATGCTGCTGTGATGGTTTCTCGAAGGCTCCACGTCCCAAGACTCTAGGATGTCGAGACAAATATTCCGCAGGCCATTGGTTTGCGAAATCCATATATAGAACCTGTACCGTGGCGTGACCCATGGACTTTTGTGCCGAGCTTGGCTTCTCGACTCTTGACTGGGGTTGTCAAGTGACGCTTTGAACTCTGACGTTGCCTTGTGTGTTTCGCTTTTGGAAAAAATGCGCATCAATACGGCACCCCACACGAAATAACGACACCACACACGTTTCCCTGTTGCAATATATAACTTCTGTCTTTCTTCCCTGAAGCATCCATGTGTTTCTTGTTTCAAATGACACCCAGAAGCATTGCACTGATGGGAAGAGAACACCAGTGTCACTGCATGCATCCGTACAGTCACCAGTGTCTCTGCGCGCATTCGCCTGCGGAACTGTGCTTGCAGCGTCTTGCTTGTCTCCAGTGCACCCTGTGGCTCAAAATAGAGAGGTAATGAAACGAAAATTGGATCCAAGTGCTACGCCGGTGGAACAGTTTCAGGCCTTGCGACAAATCCGGGGCCTGTCCCACGAGGACTGCCGTAGAGTCATCACCTTGCTTCGCGACGACGAGCAAGGAGCGGCTACGTGCCGAAAGCAGCATTTGAAATATCCTCAGGCAACCAAACTTCTACGCGAAGTGAAGCTGCCCGATTCCAATTTAGCGATACAGCTGAACACGGTTCCTGACTTGATTCAAGAAAAGGTCGACAAATGTGGCCTATTTGCCTATATGATGCTGCAGGCTTTGAAACAGGGTAGCAGTGCCCTAAGTCTACTGCTCTTTGCAGATGAGGCAAATCCAGGAAACATCTTGGCAGCTCGGCATCCGCAGAAAAGTAACCTATATTACTTTACCTTCTGGGAATTTCCCCTTCTCCATGTGGAAGGTTTGTGGCTGCCTCTCTCTGTGGTGAGATCGAACGAGGTCGCGGATGCGAAGTCCTCCTACGCGGAGGTGACAAGAGCTATTTTGGAAAATGTGTTTGAAGAAGTGGAGAACGGCTTCGCCTTGTCCATTGGCGGTGAAGCTGAGATGGTGTTCATACGGCATCTTATTCTGTTGAATGATCATGAAGGCTTGAGATCCGTGAGTGGAAGTAAGGGCGCCTCAGGGGCAAAACCCTGCTTTGCTTGTTGCAACGTGTTGGCCAATGGAAGAGCCTGCCCACCTGGCTTTGTCACCATCCAAGAGATGGACTCAACCCGGTTTGTACGACAAACTGATGCAGGTCTGAAAGATATACAAAGGCACTTCGACAGTTGTCGTACGAAACAAAGCCTTAATAAGGCTGAAGTGCTTCTGGGATGGAACGCCCGTGACCTTCGCAGGTCCATCTTTGCGTCAGAAAAACTTCAACCTTGGATTTCTTTGGATTGTCTGCTTGTAGACACGATGCACCAATACTATTCGCATGGGCTGGTGGCGCAAGAACTTGGTCTCTGGTTTGGTCGCTTCCTTGCCGCCGGCTTCAATTTGCAACTCTTGCGAAACTGGATCGCAATTGGATGGAAAACGACCAAAGACTCTTTGCTGACGCCTTCCGCCAGCTGCACAGAACATCTCTTTCGAGAAGACTGTGACTATCGTGGGGATGCCTCGGCTTGTGCAACAGCTATGCCATTGGTGTGGGCCTTTTCGCAAGAAATTCTGCGCGAAAATGCTTCAATGCAAACAGCAATCGATTCTTTGGATGCTTTGTACGCGGTGCTGACTTGTTTGCACAGGATGAAATGGAATCCGGTACGTGGAGCGGCTCTGACTAGTCTGCAACGGGCGCACATGGTGGCCTTTCAACGTGCGTACGACGCTGTGTTGACAAGGCCGAAGGCGCATTACGCCCTGCATGTGTGGAGCCAAGTGCTTCGCTGGGGCCGTCACGCAGATTGCTACGTCGGAGAAAGAAAACATCGCATCTTCAAAAGCCAAGTTGCCCCAAAGATGACCAACCTGAAGACATTCTCAACAAGTTGCCTGTTGCAACTCACAGAGATGGAACTGTTGGATGCGGATGCAGCAGAGTCGTTCACGGGACGACTCATAGGGAAGCCACGTGCTCAGCCAAGCTGCGCCAAACTCGTTGGCCTGCCAAGTGACACAAAGTTTGCCTACGGGCTGGAATATCAATGTGTCAAATATGAAAAGGGAACGTACGTACTCCTATCCAAAGACTGCGCTGTCCAAATCCAAGGTGGTGTGTCCACCTCGCAAGAACTGTTCTTGCTTGTGACCTGTCTATCCAAAGCCACAAATTCAATTGCCAAAATTCCTACGTGGAAAAAGGAAAATTCAAAATTGGCACTGCTGCCGCTGAAAGGGTTGCTTGGCCATGAGCCAATGCACCTGCTTCGTGAAGGCACCACGGGCCTTTGGCTGCTTCGATGATGCAGCCGTCTTCTCACCCGACCTTCGCAAAGCATTGCCAGAAAAAAAACAGCTGTGTCAACGAGAACCGTCCTGCAACATGGCAAAATTATATTAAAATAAAGACAAACAATGACAAAACAAAACAAAACGTAAATAAAAGAAAAACAAGCGAAAAACATATCAAAAAACTTAGCTCACTTAGCTTGCACTTAGCTTCCACTTAGCAACCCCTCAAAACCACTTAAACCTAAGTTCAAACTAAGTTCGAACTAAGTGACCTAAGTTCACCGGAGCCTCCAAAGTAAGAGTTCTGCTGACAAAAGGAACTGGTTGCTTTCATCTTTTGGGAAGT